AACTTAACCGCTTGTGAGTGACAAGGTTCCTCCTTCCTTTTGGGATAATGCCACCATTTTTTTTTCTTGTTATTGTCAGGTTTATTGCTTCTGCTCAATATACTACGAGCTTCATCAGTAAAGGACAGTCTCACCCTTGTTGGTTTCCATTTTCGTATGGGACTGCAAAAAGAAACCTGCCAATCTCAGCCCATGGACATGTCCCACCTGCCATCATGCTGAGATGCAAAGCTTGCTCCTCTCCCCCCTGCCCCAGCTCACCCTAGAAGAAGTTGTTTGGTCACCGCTTTCCGTTGTATCTGCCTGACCCTTCATCCCTCCAGTCCCTTGTGCCACAGAGGCAGTGCCATTACCATTAGTCTGTGAGAAGCCCATTAGTGCAACGAGATGGGGTCGACCTGCCTGGGTTGCCTGGACCAGTCTGAGACGTGAGGAAGACCTCCTTGGGCTTCACAGCGCTCCATTGCTTTCTTGAGTATTCCCGGCATTGCTGCCTCAAAAAGCCAAAGAAGAGAGAAGAGCCAACATGGGTGTGTGTGGGGTGGGGTGTAGTGGGGGGATTGCTCTGTAGTGCCAATAATAGGACTGTTAGGACACTCCTTTCTATGCCTTACAGTTTGCGCCACAGGGAAAGGCATTGTCCGGATGCATTTGTTTTATATATACTGTATATATTTATATATATAAGATATACATGCAAGCTTGGTTGGTGTTTTTTATTAAACAAAATAAAATCCATTGAAAATGTTTGGGATGTTTGTGCTGCATCCAGGTTCCTGGAGCCGTGCGTTGAAATTCCAGCTGCAGCCTCTCTCACCCTTGTCAGAGCTCTTCCTGGTAGCCTTGGGCAGCGCTTGAAATGGCCAGCTCACATCTTCCCATGAGAAACCCCAAAGCAGCGGCGCTGGAGGGAGCCGCGCTTCTTCGCAGGTTTTCCCCATGGGCATTTGCAGCTTCATAGAATAAGCTGAGGATATCCTCTCCAGTCAGATAGGTTCATGTGGCTCTTGGGAACACGCAAGGACATCCCCGTGGGAAGTCTCTGCCAGCCCCTCTGAGGACAGGTAATGTCTCAGCAGGGAGCATCCCACACCGAAGACCATATCTCCCCCCAGTTGCCATAACACTGCCCAGTGAGACTTGTCCTGTAGACTTAACCACTCTCCTTTGCTCTCCCTATCTGCTGCCCTCCCTCCTCTGGGGTCTGGAGAGCTAATTAGGACCTAATTTCCTTCTCTCCATGAAGAATACAGGAGAAGCAACCCAAAACAGGTTTCTTCCATGCAAGCATCCTGAGGAAATTAGGATCTTTCATGTTGCTGGTGATGCCTGCCTCTTTCAAATTTGGGGGGAGGAGGGCGCTTATTTATGACAAATAGTGCTTGTGCAGGAGACCTGCCCAAACTGAGTGGGACTTTGCCGCAGAATAGTTCCACTGAAGGTAGCAGAGCTACTCCATGGTCCAGGCTGGACCATAAGGGAAGGAGAATGAAGCTCAGTCATGAGGGATACTTCCACTAGAGTGGCTTAGATCTCCATCTTGGTGTTTGCTGCAGACACACTGGGCATATGTAGATGTCTGACAGTGGGCTTTGATAGTCTAAAACAGCATGTTGCAGGAAATGAGAAATAAATCTCTTCAAAGTGAAGGTGAAAATTAAACTGGCAGAGGATGAATGGAAATCCAGCCAACGTATTTGAGCTAACACTGGGAAAAAAGCCCCAAATCCAAACTGGGGTAAGTTGTGCCCATGATTGTGTGTGTTGCTGCTGGAATTTTTTTTCTCCCTGTATGAATATTTTTGAGGAAAAAAAGAAGTCTAATTGTGATCAGGACAAAAAGCTAAAAGTCACAGATTACGCTTGCAGACAGAACACCAGCAGGGTAAGTGAGGCTGGACAAGCACTGCATTTTAAGAAGTCCATGATGTTCTGTTTGATCCCTTTTTTTGGCCTTTCCTTCTGTAGTCTGGAGAAGCTAACGTCTCTTAACCAAAATATTTCTATCGTGAGTAGTGTGGTTCCAGCTCCTAGAGCCAAGTGATCACATTGGAAATTTCAGCCTTCACTTAGAAACTCACTCTTGGTTCCTGTGCCTACACAAACAGAGAAACTACTGAAGAACATGTCCTGCACGATCAGAAAGAAAAAGGACCCAGTGCCATGTAACATTACTCAGAGGTTGAACCGGTCGTTGAGCCTGGTGCTCTCCCCTCTCCTTGCCTTGCTGCCCTCCTCCATGATCCACCAACATCACAGCAGTGACAGCAGCCTGACCGAATTCCCCTGTGGTGGCCTGAGGCTGCCTGAGTGTCCACCCTGGAGGTTCCATCTGTTTCCTTCAGCATCTTGGTGGCCTGTGGCTTTCCCCTAGTCTTTGCTCACCTTTTCTGCAGTAAAAAAATCACCTTGAGCAGCTTGCTTTGGTGTCTGTGTACAGGCACCCATTTCTGAAGTTAGCAAGGAGACAGTTCAGAGAGCATGAAGCTCTTGGTACCCCGTTATCCATCTATGGACTGAGATATCCATCCCTACCCCCACACTGTGATGTTTACATGAAGGGGCTCACATAAATGCTTGTGCAAACCCTTGTTCACCCTCCTCACTTTATTTTTGTGAGGAATTGAGTTGACTTGTATGGGGCTGCTCCTGCGGAAAGGTTGTGTAAGCTTTTGCACTTCCAGTTTTAGTTGGGTCTTGCCTTGGGTTGGGCTGCTTGGTTGGGGATGCCATCTCAGCTGACTGGGCTGTTGTCAGTTCAGATGAGACCTTTACATCACCTTTAAGCTGAGCGACATCAAGACATGAACCAGAGCATCCGACACAATGTTGCTTCGTTTACATGGATTTGCTAAACTGAGTCCAGCTGGATGAATGGACGGGTTTTGTTATCTGTTTCTTAATTGCTGATGACCTCAGCCAACAGGCAGTGTCTAGTTGTCTATCAAGCCAAAGCGAAATATTATGACTGTGTACGTTTAATCTGTATTTTACTGAACCATGTAAATATATGTGCAAATCAAGGACCTTATCCTGAAAGCATGGAGTTCTCCAGGGTTTTAGTAGACTTTTGTCACAGCTCCTAGGAAGTTGCCATGGTTACCCTGGTTGTCACTAAGTTTGGGTACCATTCAGGGGAGAAAATGGTCTTGAGGCACATTCCTCTTGCCTGCTCTGTACGAACACTGATTTCTCAGCTCCTGCCCCCCCCTCCCCCCCTTGACGTCGAAATAGGTGGCTGATTCCCTCTAAGTGGGATTTTTGAGCATGACAGGGATGGATGATTGATGAGGCTGGTGGAGCTTGACATGTGAAGCCACGGGAGGGATTTCCAGATGGAAGCGTATCCTGTAAATTATCTCTTGCTTTGTGATGTAAAATGTACAGTGTTTGCACTAGAATAGAAATGATCATTTTCAATAAAAGGGGGAAAAGTCTCCCCAATCCTTTCTATAAGCTGCCACATATGTGTCATGTTGCTGCCCTGAGGTGTTCTACGGCATTGGCTGGGGCTGGGAACACGCCGGAGCCTTGGGGAGGAAAGCGGGATCCAGGCTGGCAGATCAGGGCTCGGGGCTGTCCTTCCCAGCAGGCTTATCCTGGCAACTCCATGCAGCTGACTGGGGGACCGCAGAGAGACCCCAGCGGAGATGGGGACCCCTCTGCAGCATGCGCTGTGCAAGCCAGCCAGTGAGCCAGGCAGAGAGGGA